TTTATATTTATATATTATATTTAAATTTTATACATATACATATTTTCGGGTCGATCTAGTTTTAAATAATAACGACGACGCGTCGTTGCGAACGACGGATCGTTTGTCGTATGTGTTTTTCTGTAATCGTATGCCATGATTATATGTACGTGTAGAAGCGTGTGAAAATTCCACAGATATTTTTAACTTAAAAATTTTAAGTACGTTGGACATGCGTCGCACGAATTTGGGATGAACTGTTTTTTCGTTTATGTGCTGTATAGTATTTACAATATTGCGGAATGATAAAAAGATAAAAATTGTTATCAAAATCACGACTCAGATAAAACTGTTATCTGAATACGTTGAGGAGAAAGTTTATACATATATATGTATATGATACATATGTATATAATAAAATGTGAGATACCAGTTTTCCTGGCGGTTTGAAATCTGGAGTTCATCGAATATTGACGAATACGAGTAACAAAAGAAAAAAGAAAAGAAAAATATTCAGAAATTCTCGTTTAGGCAGTCATTTTTGCAGGCTTATATGCCTGCTTGGATACTTTACGAATTATTTCATTGGCTATTGAGCATCTAAAGATAAATTTAAGGAAGCCTTAAATAAGGCCTGACTATGAATACGGGCAATAGTTCTTAAGAATCAAGGTCGTTCGCTCTCTTGCCGGAACTCGCCACGACGCCGGCATAACAGAAGAAAGAAACATTGATTTACATGCTTACGTCTATTTAAATATGAGTAGCATTGCGACGGTTTCGCTGTTTTAAGATTGAAAAGACATAAGAGAATGTTTATCGGTTATCGATAGCGGCGCGGTATGTACAGTCGTGCTGCTTTACGAGTGGTCTCTTTTGTTTGATTCGTTGACAGCTGTGAAACGGTTAGATGAAACAAAACAAACAAGACCTCGTGTGCCTTCCAACAAGCGACACAAATGACACGGGCTGCGTTCCGTTTCACGCATGTGCATAATGCATCGTTTATCCTTGTTTAACATTCGGTGAATAACAAGGATAAAAGATGCATCATGCGCATCATGCATGAAACGGAACGCAGCCACGGTGTGACACAATGGATCATTACATCCTTGTTGTTTGTCAATATTGAACAAAGATGACATGATCACTGTGTCGCACTGTGTCGCTTGTTGTGTTGGAAGGCACACCTCGTCAGCTCGTTGAGGGCAGGTTATCCGTCGCTATCGCTATCGTTGAATGTTGCGTCGCTGAAGAATCAATTCTTCTGAACAACGGCATCCACGGCACGAGCCACATCGACCACACGGACGACGGTCTCGTAAAGACATTAAGATATGGTAGGAAAGAAAAAGAAGATCGTACGCTCGGAGAAGACCGGCTTGGCGGGAGGGGTCGATAAGAGAAATCGAGCCGGGCGTGCTACGTGGACTCGTGAAAGTGAAGGTATGTTACCGCTACTTGTGGTCGCGGGAGAGGCCGATCGAACCCGATGAATACCTGTTGCCTCTTTCTCGTTCTTTCCCTTGCGCTCGCGTTCGCGTCTCGACTGTCTTGAGTAGTCTTGACGTGACGTGGGCAGCTGTATCGAGATCGAGGGATTTACACAGAACACGCGACAATAAACGCGACACGCGATAAGGGGATACACTTTCACAAGCGTTCGGAAGTGTCAAACGCAGATTATTGACACGACATGAGTATGGAGCGCCTAAAAAAGAAGCTGAGCGAGTATGATCAGGAACATCTGCTTAGATTTTGGGAGGAATTGGTGGATGAGGATAGGAACCAGCTGGAGAATGATATAGATGAGCTTGATCTGCAGGAAATTACGGCATACTTTAAGAAGGCTGTAGAATCCTCTCAGACCATTGGACAGGATATACT